CGGTTCAATATCGTCTTTTAAAACAGCACATTTAGCGACGTGCCGTTTATGAACTATCTTACGAATGCATCATTAATAATAAAACTATTGTCACTCTGAATAACACATACTAATGATATAAAACTAAATTGTACCACAGGAAAATCAATCATATATTCGATATCTCGAAACAGAACAAGTTCCTGCATCGTTTAAATCACTGAATGCAAACGTACGACACTGAATACAGCCATTAATCGATTTTCTGCTTGTCAATCTGCTCGACTTTGTTTGTCCGTCTAATTGACTCTCCCTAACTGCCCATCTTCCTTTATCCATTTGTCCCTCTTCATGATGATTTGATTTTCCATCTTCCTGACTGTCAGTTTGTCCGCCTGCGACTCTGTCTGTCTTCCTGTCTGTGCCTCTGACCGCCTGTAAGTCTATCCGTGTGTCTCCTTCGTCTCGTTCTTTCACGTACCCGTTTTGCGCCTATCAATATGTGCGTCTATCCATCGATATATTCCTTCGTGACTGTCTGTTCTTCCGATTATGTATCTCTGTTCATTCGTTTCTGTATGTCGGTGATCATTTATTTCTGTGTGTCTGTTCCTCCGTTTCTGTCTGACTGGCTGTTTTTTTTCGTTTGCTCGCCTTTGCTTGTGAACAACGTAAACAATCTATAGGAGTTTTTCCAAAATACATATTCGGAAATCAATCTGGCCCAACTCCAAGCCTAGTGGTTTTGAAAGCAATTCGTAAAACTTTGAGCATATTTTGCATGAAGTTCTGGAAAAAATGTTCACAATTTGTTTAAAAAAACATAATTTTTTCATTAAATTTCTAACAAAATAGATTAAATACACTCATAAGGAAGGCGCATTTCTTTTTACACACTTGACACAGAATTTTCAAAAATTGTAACCGTTTCAATATTTTTTGGAACCCTTACACAATAACTTGATTGATAAATAGAGATTTTTTCGTGGAATGAAGTTTGTTTTCCACAATTCGTTCTGTAATTAATGTAAAGTAATTTTTTGAAAATATTATTAGTTTAATATTAATATTATATAAATAATTAGATATATAATTATATAATTATATTATATAACTGTACAATTATATTAATTATAATATTTATATAAAAAATATATGAAATATTGATAATATAAATAGTTAATGATTTTATGTCAAGTGGGAAATTATAAAAATTACATTTTCTCAAAAATGATTCCCATTTTCTCTTTCACTTTTTGTACGGGCTGATTTAGATAATCATATAAGTGTAATGTGATGTCAATGACCATGAAATTAAAGATGTGAATAAAATAGCTCAACACCATTTTGATGCAACATTTTTATTTTACATATATTACGCAAATATACCTATTTAAATATCTCTCACATCATTAATATTTACAATACAGCATGTTGCAATTGCGTTTGTCGAGGGCACGTGCTATAAATGATTTCTGATTATGTTTCTCGAAAACTCAAGATTTTGTGGATGAACTTAAATCTGCGAAAATTTAGAAAATCTCAAATTATTTGTTTTGAAAATAGCTCCCAATTTTTTAGTGAAAATTTGCGCCAAAATACAGGTTTAACAATTTTATGATATTCTTAAAGACATATTTCCATTCTTCTATTAGAAGACAAAAAAATTGAAAACCAATTAAAAATTACGGGTTTTTCGCACTACAGGATTTATTCAATACAAACGTTTAGTGTGAATAAACCAAACAATTGTGGTAATTGCTGCGTGCTATAAATACTACTTTCGGCAACATATTATGTAGAGTTAGATAATTTTGAAAAAAAATGTTATTTAGTGCGTCATTGATTGCTTTAATGCTGAACTAACTTTGTTTGCTTATTTGCTATGGTAAGGTATGGTGTCAAAGTCATTCATGTATACAAGTTAAAGCCATAAATCATATTAATTCTCTCTTGTGCTTAACAAGTTTAATAAGTATATTATTACTTACATCAAATTATTACTATTATGGTACAAAAGAATAAATTCCGCCACGAAAATTCTCCTACGCCGTGAAGGGGACGGGTCTTTTTGCAGACTAGTTCGTGAACTAAATGAGCATTCACAATTATTTAATTCGCGATAAGCGAGGTAGTTTGGGAGCAAAAATAAATAAATAAGCAAATTTAAAAACAATCATGATTACAAGCGATGTAATGATTACTACAAGTAACGATTACAACTGTATAACAAGGAACACATTACAAGTAAAAAGTACATTCTCCTAAAATGAACGATTACATACTAAAATTACTAATAAAGTAATGGTCTCAAATAAATGAATTTCTTTTACTCAATTACTATCCTATATTTATGAACACTAAGGCTTTTTGTAACCTGCTTAAGACATGTATGTGCTTAATTTTTGTCCGAAACATGGAAGGTTTTCAGAGTACAGCATGTATTACATCTATTTCCTGAACCTTCCGTAATAGTTTGGCTTGACAGAGAATTGTGTGTGCAATCTGTGTGGCCATTGACGAAAAGGATCCCTGTGCCCAGAACAATTATACAAGCACCGAGATGAATGCTCTATTAATCAATATTCGAACTTCAATTTAGATGCGTATCGAATAGAGAGCAATAAGAACAGAGCCTTGAGCTTCAAAACGAAAGTGATAAATCCGGAGATTTTCAGTGAAGTCGTAGATTTAATGGGCGAAAATTAGTGCTGTATGTGTCGTGTTCCTGAGAACTTGCGCTGTATTGGTCTGCAGATCATCCTGCTTGAACCAGAGCTTATCTCTGCTACGCTGGGTAAAAAATTACTTGCGTTCAACGATACTGCAAAATTGACTTATTCATATAGCGATTGTGCACTAGTACCGAGATTTAGTGAAGATCGAAATTGAGAAACAGATAGATGAATTCATTCCTAAAAATTCCAAACGAGAGCCAGTTTTCTGTCAACTCACTTTCAGTGACATTTCAAGAGTTGACAGATATCAAATACAAAATTTCAATAAACTAGATATTTTATACCGTTATCATATTTTTCTTTAAGAAAACTTCATCACAATAAACAATTTCATGACCCCCACCAATGATTTGCCCGCCTGAAATTCACACGTGTCGCCGGTTCTGTATGGAGCTGAGGTCAACCACGAGCAAATATCTAAAGGTACAGACACGAGAAAGAACAGTACGACGTCCGGAGAGTGCGAAGACTCCTGCAGAAGTTTTGGGTGCCGAATCAAAAATCTAGCCCACACTCATGAAAATAGAGAACCACAAGGTCTGTGCTATTTTGTAGCACCAACAGTTATATTTGTTTACATGCTTCTACAACAACAGTATTAAATAAATATTTTATCTTAATGACATGTGTTGTTCAAAATTAGATTTTAAAATCATTTCACGTATTTTTTTTCAAAACGTATAACCAGTTCTCGCAAACTTTTGGGTAAACTTTGGGTAATTTTACGCAAGACAACATTTTCTCGAAAAGGGATTCCAAATTCGTGTTTCAAATATTGCGTAATATTCGTGAAAAATACTCTGAATTCCGTAGTAAAAGCTTTAGATGAACTGGTGCCAATTATTCACGAACACTTAGACAATATTTTCTCGAAAAGGGATGTAAATTCGCATTTTAAGTATTATCAAAGATTCGAAATGTCTCTGAATTCTGTACTAAAAGCTCTACTTCATTAGAAGTTTTGAAAGGTTAACAAATAAATCTGTAATATTTTCGAACTTCCCATGTCTTATTTTACGAGATTTTTCGGCATACGTATTAGTATTATACAATTTGTAATATTTTAACATTGTGTAAATGTTAGATGTTTTCCGATGTAGTAGATGGTTTCGTAGGAAGATTGGTTTGAAACTCATAATTCGATTAAAACTCTCAATTTACGAACAATTTATGTAAATGCGTTTTCGAAACAATACTATCTTAATAAATTAATTTGTAAAGATTTCTCCTGCTTAGTTGTAACCAGACAATTCTGTAGTTACCTGCCCTTCTCTGGGCAGGTGCAAAAACACAACTCCGAAGAGCATTTTGTAAATGTGTTTTATCAGTTTTTAGTTTGAGCTAGATCTGACGCAGTGGTAACTCATCCATAGTATTTTATCACAACAATAAGTTATAGAAGGTATTTAAAGCAGCATTGTGTTAGAGAGCTGAGGATTAAAACGCTAAGTCTTCAACACTTCTGATTTCAACCAGTTTCAACACACGTTTTTGATTGTAATTTACGTCAAAGCACCACAGTATAACTGATGATAAAACATACTAGTACATCTCCGTACTAACATATATAGCTTGAAACTTCTGCAAAAACACATCAACTTACTCCAAGATATCCCATAATATATCAAAGTTGACGCCACCACACACAGAACAACTCTTCATATGTTATCGCTTGCACACGCAGTGACCTTTACAAGCACAAGCACAAGCGCGCGCGTGCACACACACACACACACACACACACACACACACACACACACACACATACATGCATTCAATAGGCATCGTCCTTACATTTTGACACGTCTCTTCCTCCACTCCACAATTTCCAGACCGTGAATAGCTACGTCTATTGTAACGCGCTAATATTAATGGCCGTACTACAACACAAATCGAACAGACACTAGATTCCATGCACTAGGAAACAATGGATAAAATGACTCGTTTTAACAATTTCCCTAAGTCAACTAAAATGTAGCACAATTTAGCACATAAATAATGTGATCATTAATCTGTTAAAGAGTTAGTAGTAAATATGGCATGTTTCTGTGAATATAACTTTCCTATCTAGATACTTTTACATTCACAAATTTTATTTTGAAATTATTAAGATTCGAGTGATTATGAACCATTTACACTTATTGGTCGTATGCGATGTGCCGATGAAAAATATGTATTGCACTGATCAATTTGAAATAAATTCAGTTTTTTATCTAGGACAAATTCCGCCCTTTCCATGAGCTAACTACACTTAGGTTTGAACACAAACTAGAGATGTCTTACCACAAAGGTCATAGATGATGTACTTATATGTGTCGTAAAGAGTCATTTTGCTGGTCTTAGTTTGCCTCCTAGTGTCTTGAAAAATTCCAGTGTGTTCCTCTTGGAGCAGACAAATGCTGACTGAGCTCAGGGCACATCGGGAACTTTATCGCGCATACATGTACATTTCACAACTATATTCATTACTGCTTCATAATCGTTTTCCTTATTTACATATTTATGAAGACAAACACATACTAATATCACACAGAATGCAGACATTTTCATGTTACAAAACACATACAATGCAAATTCATCACATGTTGTCATATATCAATACTTCCGTCTTAACGAGTTTCAATGTTGCGTAGACTTTGATCGAGGAGTGGGAGGGCACCGCAGTGGCCAGGAATTCTCAGTTCCATTTAGCGGACGGTTTTTCCCCAGATTCTAAATCAGTTAACTGTCGTTCATTGCCGAAGACTACATCAGTCGGCGAAATATGATCGTCCTCCAGCAGACAATGTTTCGGAAGTGTCAGTTCAATGAGTGCAGTTTGATGTTAGGGATAGTTTACCCGAGTGATTTCGATGGTTTCGGTATAGTCACAAACACTAATTTCGTATGAATTGTCGCAAATTATTGCCGAAAAGTACGAAATATTTTAAAGTGACTCTCTTAATAAGAAATTTGAAGTGAAGTGATGCTCGCCGAAGCTAAAAAGAAAAGCCTACACTCATAGAATATCAGAGACCGCGCCCTTTACTTTCATTACGCTGTTAATTAAACACACAGTAGGTAAACTTCTAATCAAAGAATAATTTATGTAAATGAAAATAAAAAGGTATGAATTGCATTTCTATTGAATTTTAATAACATATATAAGTAGTTTTCCAACGAATATTCATCGATTGTCAGTGTCAAAGACCCAGACGGTAGTAAACGTTCGTGAAAAGAATGCAAATTATTTCGACATATTACTAATAGGCCACACCTCTAAAAGTAGGGGTCTTAAAACAGCCCATACATTCTTGTCCTTCGTATTGTTTACGTTCGGGGGTTCGTTACATGAAGCCCCTGGGGCACTTTCAGAATATTCTCAAAAACGTTTCCTTTTTTTACATTTCTTGTAAGAATAGAGTAACGTACACTTATAAAAGTAGCATAGGTCAAATGTTCGCGGTAAACTCTGGATTTTAATTACAAAATTACAACAAAATTGAAGATAGCTGTTTTTTCTTTGAATTAAATTTTTTGTTCATAAATAGTTCTTTCTTTAAGGTCATATAAATTTTTGTAAACTAATAATAGTTTTCGCGCAATATTGCGTAAAATATTTGCAATTTAAAAAAACAATAAGATTTTCTTAAAAACCGTTCTAATTTTTATCTTTTTTAAGGTGGTAGTGGCAAATGCACTCTATTTGATGACATAACCACCATATTACTCAATTCTTTCGTTTTTTCAAAAATACAAAAATGTAATTTTTACTTGTCTCACATTAATATTTATATTGGCGCTAAGTTGTTCACGTTATTACATTTATGAGTACATGTGCTTTAAATAATGTCGTAATAACGTTTTTGAAAACTCAACCGGTATCTCTGAAAATTAGCTCAAATTTCCACATTTTCATAAACGCTCAAACGCCATTTTCTCAAAACTGGCTCCAAATTTTTATGTTAATGTGCTTCAAATAACTTTGGATGAAGTTTTTCGATAACTCAAAAATTTTCTGTAAAAAAAATAACTTCAAGTTTCGAATGTACTGTAGTCATTTTCTTAAAAACAGCTCCAAATTTTTAAATGATGATTGCAATTGAGGACGAGGTATTTCCGTTTTTTTTAATATTCATAAAATGATATTTCCGTTCTACTATTAGGAAAATGAAAAATTAAGGAAAATTAAAAAGAAAGTACTTTGGGTGGCGATAGATGGCAGCTGACAAGAATATGTGGCAAGTTCGTGTTACTCGCCGAGACCAAAGGAAATAGAAAACTAATACGGGAAAGTCGGTGCCATTCTGAAGCACCACTAGTTCAGTATCAAGGGCCCACAAAACATGCATCCTGGCTACAGGATTTTTTTCTAAATTTAGCAACTGTATATTTTCACATTTTCATTAGCAAGGCCCTATAATAAGAGTTTTTCTGCTGAAAATCCGTGTTTTTTCGCATAGCATTACATAGCGAGAGGAGGATAGCGAGCGCATAGTGGTAGCGAGAAAGTAAAAAAAGCTTGATGCTGAATGCCTTCCAAGTGGTAGTAGTAGAGTTGTTGGAGGCTGACTGAGGAGGCACGTGGACTTGCTGGCGCGGAAGAGCTAGCAGCCAGTCTCTTCCACGTTTGCCTTGATAGCTTTGATAACATCTCGGAGGACCACCGCGTTTAATGGGCCGCTGACGAGTTTCTTGTAAATGTGTATATCTACTGAAGGAATCACTATTACCGTGGAAGAATTCAGAAAGCAAGAAATAATTAAAAGGAAAAAAGCATGTAATGAAGACTAAGAAAATTATACAATTAATTATAATAATGATTACTCTAATGTTAAAAATGTTGAATGAATGTAGTCGGCGTGGGCATCTACTGAAGACTGTGTTGACAGTGGGTATTGAGGCATTGTAATAGCCGTACATTCAAAGTTAAAGACTGTATTAGTTGTGGTTAACATTGAAACATCACAACGAATTGTATACGTAAGCTTCCGCGGCTCGAATCCATGAATTCTCAGCGATCCGGGAGACGCCGCGTCGTTGTCTGGGACACCGATGTTTCGCCTGACATGTCTTACACTTCGTCACAGCCCTGAAGAAGCCTGCGACATGTCAGGCAAAACGTCGGCACCCCAGCCAACGACGCGGCGTCTCCCGGATAGCCGAGAATTTATCAGAACGAATTGGCAATTACAGTTGAAAACTGTGTTGATTGCACATAGCAAATGAGTACAAGTGTACCATACGCTTAAAACAATAGTGCTGATATAAAAACATAAAACATGAACGGAATCACGTGCTGATGCAGCGTAGTCTCGTGAAGTGCGCGCGCGCAGGACTCGTGTCGTGAAGACTTGCAGAGAGTTCTCGCACAAGCCACGAGTGATGTGTCTGGAGGAAGAGAGTGGCTGCAGTTCAATAGCATACGCTGTAGCAACCAGCAGCTTGGATTTTCCGTGACTGATTACTGGTAATTGCAGCAGTTGCATTGAATGCCGCGGAAGCAGATTGTGGCACAATAGCTGTGTTGGTAGCACGTACGTTAGATTAGGTTACACGTGAGTTAATAATTGTTAACGGCGGGGACACATTCACAGTTAATGTTGGCATGACCTCAATACACGATAAATTACAGTACATTGTGCAATGTATATGCAACACGCGGTCCACTAAGCATATTAACGCAACTGATGGATTGTAACGTTCAGTTTATGTTCAAATTATAACGTACATAAAACCATCTATTAATTGGGAATGTTCGATTAAGAAGGAACGTATTTGAGACTTGTAACTCACTGGTTCATGAAGTAGCGATTGCTTACGTAATGTACTAGAACTTTCATGCACGTGGAGACATCATCTCAGCTGGAAATACACAATATAAAAAACACAGTATGAAGAACTCATCATTTCCACATGATAGCTCGAAGAGGATGTGTCCATGAGTTAAGCTCAATGCATGTATTACTCACTACGCCATGAGGATAATTAAGAAAATGTATGAACTAAGGAGCGTGGGGATGCCTGCACAACTCGGCAAAATGGACGCCACCAAATTAACGTATTTGTAAAGTTCACAGTGGTTTGAGGAGTGGCGCGGGACCGGATCGGGAGCGATCGGATGCGGCCGCCTCATTCTCAAGCAAACATTGCCTAAGGCAGCAGAGCTTGTAGTGAGTGACGAGTAAATTAATTGAAAGAGGCACGGCCAAGAAGTGGCGACTACAGTGGTTGGCGAGAATTCTAGTTGAACATGTATGAGAGGTACTCGATTCGTCAGATTCTCTAGTGTGTGCAATTGAGTTACGAAATAAAATAGCTCAGTACTGCGGAGAGTTCTAACAATTGTGTTATTTAGAGGATAGTAACTTTCAAACATGTTTCGTGACTCCACATATATGTTTAATGCGGCCTAACAGTGAATAAATAAATCGGAAAGCAGTGCGGCTCAAATGTGGGTCGTTAAGAGAGACAGCGCGCGGAGCAATTTTAGCCGTTTGCAGTGAACTAGTTAAGCTGTTCGAAGCAAGGTTCTTATGGTACATATTTTACAATTTAATATTACCTAAATTAAACAGTATTTTGTACGTAGCTATGGTCATTTGAAAAGCATATATTTCTATGGTTTTAACATAAAATTGGCCATATTCCGAGTTTAAACTGTTTGAATCAAAAGTAATGTTTATCATCTGTACTTCTATATCTATAGTATTGTATAAAGACACAAAATTGTTGTGTTATAGCCCTATAATCTCTTAATGTGCTAGGCCAAATCGATAGAACGTTTGTGCTAGCTTCCTTTGAAAGTCAGGAACTATAGGTTATGATTTAGAACCACAAACATATATTTACAAGATAATTACTTTTCTAGATTTTTTTGCCTAGCATTACAGCAGATATTTAAGAGTGAATCAATGTGAAATAATGAAGAAATCAAATAATTTAGCTTCGCGCCACCCGAGGATGAATGAGATCTGCGATTAAGCTCATCAACCCACAGAACTGCGTCTAGGAAAAGACAGTTTTTTTATATTCACTGTCCTTTGTTTAATCCGACAATATTCTAAGTTTTTCTAAAATGTATTTATAAAAGTAACTTGGATATTTTATAGGGGGTCTAGGCGTGAATTTATTACGTGTACCAGAGATATGAAATGATGGGAAGAAATAATTTTAAAGTTAGGCAAGAAGAAAAATTGAAGTAATACAGTAATGGTAAATTGGTATTTGGAGGAAATGAATGTGAGTGAACGCTGGTTTTCAAGGTTGTTGGAGACAGAACAGAAGAAATAATTTTAGATAGTATTTAGATAGTGTAAAAACTTTTGTCAAGCCGGGATCTCGAATTTTTGGAGTATAATTGTCTAAGTGTTTAATTGCTCCTTTCCATCAGCCCCTATTTATCAAGGTCTTTGAAACGCGCACCCTAGTTCAATTAAAATTACTTTAATTCTATTTAATCGACAAT